TCCCAGAAGAGTCGAGAGAGAATGAAATAAATATAGATTTATTAGACCCCTTCTTCTATACCTTAGGTAGTAAACACAGGCATTTGCTCCTCATATATCTGAACACTGACAAGTTAGGGAATAAGCTTTTTTAAAAAACTGAGGTATTACCTGACATAACATTATATTAGTTTCAGGTATACAATGTAATGATATAATATTTGTATATATTGCAAAATGATCACCACAATAAGTCTAGTTAACAACTGTCACCACAGTTACAAATGTTTCTTTTCTGTGATGTGAACTTTTAAGATTTACTCCCTCAGCAACTTTCAAATATGCAGTACAGTATTATTAACTAGTTATCATGTTGGATGTTACATCCCCATTACTTATTTACAACTGGAAGTTTGTACCTTTTGACCCCCTTTTCACCCATTTTGCCCACCCTAACCCCCGACAATGGCAATTACCAATCCGTTCTCTTTATCTATGAGTTCATTTTTTAAACATTATATTTTAAAATTATTTGTTTTTTATAGATTCCATGGAATAAGTTTTAAACACTATCTTGCTATTCATTACCCAACTCTACGGTAGGTAGGTTGGATGCACTGAAGAAGCTGAGTGACCTCATACAAGGCCACGACAGTAGCAAGTTTCCCTAATAACACAAGTTCTAGGACATGATCACAGGCCTCCTATAGGAGTTAGTCAAAGCAGAACCACAACCATCACTTCCACTAACAAAACAAAAGCAGAGGGAGATAGTGGTGCTTGGTTATCACTCTTCAAGTTAGTGGGAAAAAGAGCATTAAGAGGAAATTTAACGAAAAAAAAAATTACTGAATTTTTAGGTCAATTTTTAAGAGTCTTTCCCTTTCAGGAAAAACGTCTTGTTTTTTCGGTATAGGGGTCTTACAATTTGTAAGGTATTTCCCCATTTACCTTTTATTTAATTAAAAAAAAAATAACTTCACCCCTACTTTGCAAATCAGCAGTTTCAGTCCTAAGCATGTGCACGCACGCACGCACACACACACAAATCATGCCTCTGGCAACTGGAAACTTTTTGTGCCCATTATCTTCAAATACTAACTACCTACAGGACACTTGAATGGGTACTAACAGAAGGGTTAAATGGCCAAGTGGGATAGTCTTAAACCTCAAGAAGACCCAGGCCCCATAAGAAAGATAAAGTGAACTTAAAATAAAAATATGGTCCATAGTATTATTTAAAATAAAACATTTGGGAGGTTCCAGTCAAAGATGGTAGTGTAGGAAGACCCTGAACTCATCTCTTCCCACAGATGCGCTGAATTTGTACCTACATACAGATCCATACCTGCCAAAGAAGAACTGGGGGCTACAGAACAAGTGATAAGTGATTGAGGGACAACACAGGGGATGGATAAAAGAGATGGGGGCATGGTATCGATGGGAACCCCAACCCTGACGAGGACCTTCAGTAGGGAGGGATATCACTGAGGGACCTGTACGCAGACTTGCCCACACTAGAGCAGGGCAAAGAAGCAACTGTTTAAAGGACACCTACGCTCTAGATGAAGGAAATCCATTTACTAATCCTCAAGTGTCTGCCAAATGGGCAGAGAACTGGTGAAACTGTCTCTGGGGTCCAAGGGGCCAGAAAGTGCCATTTTTTGTGTGTTCCCCGTACACCTTAATAGTGCGGACAGAATCATGGTCCAGGTACTCATACTGGCCTGCCAAGGCTGCCCCAGCATGCCCCAGGTCCACCCCACCCCCCAGCTCCACTTGTCCTGCCAAGGTGGTCTGAGCACGGCAAGTCCTGGGGCCGCATCCCTCCCCTGCTCCACTCATGCCTGCTCCAGCTCCAGTCACCCCACTAGGGTGGTCCCAATGTGAACGTGCTCCAGGACACACTGGCCCACACCTGCTCCAGGTCCAACCAGCCTGACAAAGCTGCCTGGCACACATGGTCCATACAGAGGACACTCCTACACAAAGCCATGTCTTCCAGACTTGGAGAGGTAGATGTTTCACCTAATTAATAGGAAAACAGAGTTAAACAAAAGGAGGAGACAGAGAAATATGTTCCAAAAAAAAAAAGAACAAGATAAAAGTCCAGGAAAAAACCCTAAGGAAATAGAGATAAGTAATTTACTTGATAAAGAGTTCAAAGTAATGGTCATAAAGATGCTTAACAAACTTGGGAGAAAAATGGAGGAACACACTGAGAACTTAAGAGTTAGGATATAAAAGAACCAAACAGAGATGAAGAATACAATAACTGAAATGAAAAATATACTGGGTCAACAATCTAGAAGACAGAATAGTGGAAGTCATCCAAGCAGAAAAGCAAAAAGCAAAAAATTTAAAAGAGCTTAAGGGACCTCAGAGACAACATCAAGCATACTAACATTTGCACTATAGGAGAAGAAGAGAAATAGAAAACATATATGAAGAAGTAACGGCTGAAAACTTCCCTAACCTGGGGAAAGAAACAGATATCCAGGTTCAAGAAGCACAAAGAGTTCCAAACAACATAAACCTAAAGACACATCAAGACAAGCTATAATTGAATCAGCAAAAGTCAAAGATAGTTTCAAAGAGAGAAAGAGAAAAACAACTAATCACATACAAAAGAACCCTCACAAAAGAACTCTTGAAAGACTATCAGCCGGTTTTTTAGCAGTAACTTTGCATGATATATTTAAAGTGCAGAAAGGAAAAAACCTGCAACCAAGATTACTCTACCTGGCAAAGTCATCATTTAGAATTGAAGGAGAGAGAAAGAGTTTCCCAGACAAGCAAAAACTAAAGAAGGTCATCATCACTAAACCAGTCTTACAAGAAATGTTAAAGATCTTCTTTGAGTAGAAGAGGCCATAACAAGAAATAAGGAAATATATGAAAAAAAAACTGCACTGGTGCAGGCAAATTTATAGTCAAGGCAGTGCATCAGCTGCTTAAAAACAGGTATGAAAGTTAAAAAACAAAGGTAGTAAAATCAACTATAACTACAATTAAGTATTTAAGAGATACACAAAATAAAAAGATGTAAAATATGACATCAAAAACAAAACATGGGGGGAAGAGTAAAATGTGCTTTTAGAGCATTCAAACTTACGCCAAGAATTAGTTTAAAATAAACTGATATATATATATGTCAATATACATGAATCTCATGGTAACCACAAACCTATAATAGATACACAAAAAACAAAGAGTAAGGAAGCAACCATAACACTGAAAAAAAAATCATCAAAACATGAGAGGAGAGACCAAGAGAAGCAAAGAACAGAGAAGAACCACAAAAACAACCAGGAATGAGCAACAAAATGGCAATAAGTACATACCTATCAATAATCACTTTAAATGTAAATAGACTAAATGCTCCAATCAAAAGACATAGGCTGGATGAATGGATTAAAACAATGAGACCCATCTATATACTGCCTACTGCTCACATTTGGCACAATTCAGCAAACCCTTCAGGTCTCCAAACTCCATTTGTGATTTCTCTCTATTCCTATGGTCCTAAACCGTCAAAGAGAACAGAATCCCTTGATTTCAACAACTGAAAGACTGTTTCCAGACTAAGATGAGTGAGCAAAGTTCTCTTTATTCTACCTGAATTCTGGATGTGGTCAACACTGTCAAACAGTACTTAATACTAAAACTGTCAAACAGTTGGGTAAATGATTGTGACACTGAACTGTAAGCTATTCTGTTGAAAACACTTCCACCTCTCCCTAGAAAACAAAGTCTGGACTCCTTAGCATGGCATTACTTGTTCAAACGTCACATACTCCGGGTCAAAATACTCTACTAGCAAAGTTCTTTTATATTTTATGTCTTCATATCGTCTCTTTGCTTGGAAAGCCAGGCAATGCTAACTAATCCTTCAAGACAGTGCCAGCGTCTTCACCTTTCTGCTGTGCCTTACCCAAATACTATTGTTATAGGACCTTCTTCCTCTGTGTTTGAAACTTTTACTCTATTACTTTTCAGCTGTTGGAAGACAGGAGCTATATGGTGTTATTTTCTCTCTCACTCAAGGCAAAAGAGTAAATAACTTCAGGGACTTCCCTTTTCATAGCACTCATCACAGGCTTTCTTCTTTGTTAGTTTTCCCCATTATGTATTAAGCTCCGTGAGGGCAAGGAATCACCAGGGTCCTGTTACAGCTGTAACTTCTCTAACTAGCACAATATTGGCACTTAGTACTTATTGGCAATTCATCTTTCGAATTAATACATGTTCCTAAACTGCCAGAATCTCACACAAAGAAGGCTGAATCTGCCCAAATCAATGTGACTAGGTGCTCAGGATCCTGCAATTATCCCCACCTCAACCCTGTGCTCATATGCATAACGCCCCTACTTCACGGCTGTATCAGAATATTGCAAGCCACCAGATACATCATATGAGCCTCTACCATGTTCACGGTACAGGAATGGAAGAAAGAAGACTATTTATTCGGCATCCGGCCTCAACCAAACAGCTAGGGCTGGGAGGGCTCCGATTTAAAAAATAAAAACCAAATAGCAGACATATAAGCTGTGGATGGGGCTCTAGGCCGCAAAGCTCTCCTCTAAATAAGACAAGGCTAAATCAAAATTAGCAGGGCTCCAGGTCTCCCTAAGGGTGGCGACGACCCGCGGGGTCAACAGATGCGGTGGTAGAAACCGTACTGGGCCTTGACACGAGGGGCCGCAGATGAACCGGAGGAAACGGGGAACGCTGCAGAGTGGCAGGCTGGCGGAGGCCACAGCTAGCAGCTGAAAATCCCCCTCACGTGTCCGACCTGCTCCCCCTCCTCTCCTGGGGACCTCCATCACCTGGCCCGGGCCCTCCTCCCACCCAGGGATCGGTCTCCACGCCCCCGACCCTCCCCAAAGCCTCCCCCAGCCCTTCCCACCTTTAGCGGGAGCTCTCAATCGCCGGGGTCCGGGCCGCAACCGCAACGTCTCAGCTGGGCCTCGGCAGCCGGCTTCTCAGCTCCCCCCTGCGCTACCAGCGAGAGGGCGGCGAGCCAGGCTAGAGAGTCTCAGCGCTACCATAAAGAGAGGCCTGGGAGAAGCCTAGAGGGGAACGGAGCTTGGCCCACCGCCTCCGGGGCGGACAGGGCGGGGCGGCGTGAATTGGCGAATGAATCCAGGTGAGGCAATGGTTGCTTCAGAGGCTGTCTGGATTTTTTTTTTTTCTTCTGTTGGACGTTAGGGAATTGGGCGGTGTCTGGGGCCACCTTTTACAAGATGCAAATTTGGCTAACTTGGGTTGTGTTCGCGAATCTCTACGCCTGTGCGTGATGCCACATTCTTGCACCCCAACCCTCCTAATCCCTGAAGAAGTGAATGAGTTAAAAAGACCTTCAGAAGAGACCCTTTATTTAGGGTCTCACATTTTGATTTCTTTCACTCAAGCGAAATATATTCCAAAATGCATCTCTTTTATTATAAATTATAAGAACAGCTGTGTTTATTACTTTGAGTAGAGTGTAGGCACCAGGAAGATGCTTGCAAATTTTCAGAAGGGAAACACGCACACACACACACACACACACACACACACACAGTATCTTTCTTGTAACCCTATTGTCTGGGCCAATTTAGGAGCTGATTAATTTCTAAAACAGATTTTATTCACCTACAATCTTTGAGGGCCCTAAATCCCTTAGACTGAAGCGTCTGAGCTGGCAGCCATTTTCAGGTGGGGGTAGGAGGACCCCTTCCCCCACCCCGCCCCACTGTTGTTTTAACTAGCCAGGTGAAAAGTGTGAGACAGGGAAATAAGATCCACCGAAGCCCAAGCTTGCTAGCAATACTATACACACCTACTGTAAATTGTTTTTTGCAGGGAACCTCTCTAATGGTCCTTCCTAACACCTCCATGCTGCTTTGAACCTAGTGAGGGTTTTTGCCGTTCCCTAATTTACACCCATCTTAGAAATGGGAGAAAGGCAAGAACAATGGGTAATCCCCTCAACTGTGTCCACAGGAGGTGACATTCAGTAGTTCTTTTAGTAGTTACTTTGTGATTGGCACTTTGCTAAGTTATGAGAGAAGAAGAATGAAATTTATACCTGCTTTCAGAGAGCTCAGACTAATGAGAGAGAGGAATAAATAGTTAATCACAGTGTGGTCTGATAAATGCCATCAGAAATGCAAGGATATGGACAGGATAAAGTGAGAGGTGCTAAGGCAGGGAAATTCTGGGAGGAGATTAATGTCTGAATTGAATTGTCTATGGAAAACTGCTTGATGCAATGGTGGCCTCCAGTAAACTGTTAGGCAATCTATCCTAGAGGTAGTGAAACAGAAGGCTTTCAGGACAAATTAAGATGCTTGAATAACATGGTTTACTGAATCAATTTAAATATCTAGTGAAAAGTAAGGGGAGAGAGTTGGGGCAAGCTGACACACTTAGGCTAGGGTGCAAACAAGTGGAAGGGCAACATCAGCTGAGTCATGAGTTATGCAGTGTTCATGTGTTATTGCCACATCAGCCTTTCCCACTGATCTTATGCTTATGAAGACTAGCGTTGAGGTTACAGCAAGGAGGCCCACAGGTGGAAAGTGCTTTGGGCCAATGGCACACACCTGCTCTGTTGGATCGATGCAGGGAAACGTGTTTGGTCACAACCAGAGCTTACTAATTAGCCTGATGAACAGACACGGGTTTTACTTGTATTTCTTGGGTAGAGCATGTAAGAGACTATACTAGGTGTCACCTATGGATGGCTGATTTAGGGGTGACATAGTTGTCATCCCAGAGATGGCATAATTATTCATATCTTAGTTTTTCCATTCCTTTTTGACTCTAAATGATGCTCTGTTCCATCATATTTTTGATTTATTTTCACTTTGATATGCCTTATAGTTTACTAACTTACTATGTATATTTAACACAGTTCTGTCTGTGTTTCACAAAGTGCATGCTTACTCATTTTCTATATATAAAACATCCTAGGAGTTCTGCATTTATCTTCTAAGCTGCTAGTGTACTTAACACTTCTGACTAACACTTCTTCTGACTTTCATCCATCCTTCAGGGAACTACAAAGAATTCAGTATAGCTGGGGTAGGAAGCTGGAGAGGTAAGTAGAGGAAAGATAATACCTTTTTTTTTTTCTTTTTGGCCATATTAGAGATACTAGATTTTATCCTGGAGAAAACTGTAAAACTGTGTGGAGTGTGAAGAATAGGGAAGAGGTACAGTCCTGCCCAGGAGGGCCAGGTAGAATCTCTTGCCCTAGTGCAGGTGATTAATAATGAGGTCTTCGATCAACTAAGAAAGTGGCTCTGTGGAGTGAGATGTGATTCCCTTGCCCTCAAGACATTTGGTAATGTCTGGAGACATTTTTGGTTATTCCAACTAGAGGGTGCTACTGATAGTCTAGTGGGGTGAGGACAGGGAAACTGCTAAACATCCTACAGTGCACAAGAGAACCCTTCACAACAAAGAACTTACCTGGTTCAAAATTGCAGTAGTGCCAAGATTGAGAAACCCTGAACTAAGGGAATTAAGAAAGCAAGAGAGGATAGAACTTAAGCAAGAGGATTTAGTTGGATTTCGTAACTGATTAGATATGTATGTGAGGAAGAAGGTGATTGCACAAGAACCACAAACTAGGCAAAACATGAAGTATTAACATGAAATGGGTCCCAAGTTTCAGATGAGATGGCCTGGCGCTCCGAAAGGGGTTATGGGAAATGAACGAGGATGGATTCTTAGTAATTGCTTTCCTCCTCCCCTCTTCTTCTTTTTTTGTAAGCTTTCATACTGAATTTTAATATGTCACACAGAAGTACACAAGTCATAGCTTGATGAATTTTTATATCCACATAACCACTACCCAGGTCAAGAAATTCCACTATCCCAGAAGATTCTTTTAAGTTGCCCTCCCTGCCCCCAGTTATTGTCACCTGTCGACAAAGGTAACCACCGTTCTAACTACTTTTACCATAGACTATTTTTGCCTGTTTTTGGAATTTGGAATTGTACTGAATACACTCTTTCGTGTCTGGCTTTCATGACACAACATTATATCCACCTCTCTTGGGTGTAGCAGTAGTTTTTTGTCATGACTGAATCGTATTTCTATTACATGAAGGTGAGAACCTGTTATTTTATCCATTTCACTGTTGATAGACATTGGGTTGATTTCATTTGTGGCTTTTACAAATAATGATGCTGTGCACATTCTGTCTCTTAGTGCACGTGTATTCCACGCTTTGTGTGAACGTATGTAGTGGATACTTAGTGAATAGTGGAATTGTTAGATAATAGGCAGTGTGTATGTTCAGTGTGCGTACATACTGCCAAAGAGTTTTCCAAAGTGATTGCATCAATTTACACTACATTCAGCTCCAATTTATACTCCTAAACATGTTCACCAGCACTTGGGTTTATCAGCTGTTATTGTTGGTTTTTCATTTTAGTTACTCTGGAGGTTGCATAAGTAATTGTTTTCTAACACTAAGTTACTTCACTGCACCACTTGGGGCACAAAACAACTCTAAGTGGGCTCTGGAATTATATGCCTGGTTCAAATCCTGGATAAGCCATTTATGCTGGCATAACCTATGGAAGTTACTTTAATAACTTAAGCTTCAACTCCTCATCTGTAAGATAGGGATAATATCATCTGCCTTATAGGGTTACTGTGGGGAATAAATATATGCGCGTATGTGTGTGTGTGTGTATGCATGTAGCAAGCATATATACATATACATGTTTGTGTGTATATGTATAATACTAATATATTAAAGTAACCAGTTTTGGCCCAAGATGGAATTGCTCATGCTAAGTAAGTCCCTTGTCAGCAAACCAAAACTTAACAAAGTTTCTATTCTTGGCTCTCCCAAAATAAGGAAGGCCAAGGTAGACCAATCAGTGCTTGCCTGCTCAGCACAAGTTACCTAACCAGGCTCCTAGACTTCCCTTTGCTCCATATAAGGAAAATACCCTCACTTTAATCAGTCAGCAAATGCCTAGTATGACTTCTCTGTTCTTGTGCCCTTTTACCTGTAAAAGCCTTTCATTCTGTACAGTTCCTCAAAACTTCTCTCAATCTGCTAATCCGTACATGAATCGCTGAATAAAGACAATACAATCTTTATTTATTTTTTGGCCGCACTGTGCAGCTTGCGGGATCTTAATTCCCTGACTAGGGATTGAACCTGGGCCCCCAGCAGTGGAAGCACAGAGTCCTAACCAGTGGACCACCAGGGAATTCCCAACAATAATATCTCTAAAGTGGACTCGGTTGAATTTTGTTCTTTGACAAGTATATATACTAGCAAGAATTATTATAGCTTCCAGTCATTGAGAGTTTAGCTATATGCTAGTCAAATAAAACTCAACCTGGTAAATTTGAAGATCTAGTTGGCTTTATTCAAGGGTTTATGAATTGGGCAGCATGTCTTCTAACAACTAGAAGGGCATCCCAAGGAGTGGTACAAAATGGAAGATTGTTGTAGGAAGGGTGGGGCAAGGGAGCTATTAGCAAAATAAAAGAAAGGGACATCTTTTGGGGAGTGGGGGGAGGGAGGGAAAGGAATGGCAGAGGTTTTATTATGCAGATTGCCTCTTCTTCCCGGATGGGGGTAGGGGGATGGAGAGGGCCCATTTGACAGATTACCTCAAAGGTGCTGACCGGAAAATTGCAAACTGGTTGATTAAGATTACATTTCTGCAGAATGTTCAGCTGCAGTTAGATTAGGTATTAAATCTAGGTTTGACATTATGGACTTTACCTCAAGTGATGTCATTTTGGGCCTGTAGTTTTATTTGTAACAGTATATATAGTTGTCCCTTTTTATTCATGACTCTGCATCCATGGAGTCAATGAACCTTGGAGTCCTGTAGTATTTACTATTGAAAAAAAATCCGTTGTTAAGTGGACCCACAGTTCAAACCTCTGTGTATACACATATACCTCTGTGGTATTATCTATGTATGTATATACCTCTATGGTATTGTTGAAACAAGTAGACTGCCAGATATTTCTCCAGCAAAGATGGGTTTCTTTGGGATCAGCAGAGAATTGCAATTCAGGCTCTGCAACCATGGGAGCCACGAGCAAGTCTCTGCACAGCAAGGGGAGGCAATGATTTTATAGAGAGGAAAGGAGGTTGGGAGGGCTGTAGTAAACAA